ACATTAATGTTGCTGTCTTCTGCAAAGAAATCTGCAAAGTGGTCAGCTGCCTGTTTTCTTGTTAGGATGGCTCCCTCTTTGCATAGTGCAATATTACCATTTCTTCCTGTATTCTCATCATTAATTTGCCTAATTAACCTCCACAGCTTCCTTGTGTCTCTTTCAAAGTTTAGAGACTTTGTCTTTTCCTGCCAGCTTTTCCGTCTAGCCTGCAGTTTGGCTCTTTGAAATTTGGCCTTTGAATGTTGGTAGTTGTTAAACTGCTCTTGACAAGGTCTGGTCTCAGCTTGTTTTCTTTCTGTTTCCATATTGTTGTGCAGTTGCTCCAGATCGCAATTCCAGTACGGTTTGTATTGTTTACGCGCACCTCTTGGAACTGCTTCTAGGGCTGCCTGCAGTATGTGTTTGCTCAACTCTTGGACTACTTTGTCTACGTCGTTATCTGTGTTCAGATTTTCCAGCAGAACATTTGTGCGAAGCTGATATAACTTCCAGTCTGCCTTCTTAAAATTCCACCTTGGCAGTGTGCTGCTCTCTCTTACAGACTGGCTTTCGATAGTTAGAAAGACTGGCCGGTGGTCACTGCCTCCTAGTTGCTTCCCAACAGTTCTGGTAACATTCAGTTCCATGTCTGCTGAGTGAAAGGCTAGGTCTGGTGTGGAGGTGGTATGCCATGCTCTAGAGTAGAAGGTTGGTGGGTCGGTTGGCTTATTAACGAGGATGAACCTATTCTCATCCTGCCAGTCCTCTAGTTTCTCTCCTCTCTGGTCCATATGATCATAGCCACAACTTTGGGAATGGCTATTAAAATCCCCACAAATGATCATTTTTTCATTTATTAGTACTGTATCCAGTGCCTGAGGGCGGTCGCTCGGACAGTAATATTTGGTCAGATGTAAATCTGTATTTTCTAACTTGAGCTCAAGAGTTTGATACTCAGCACCTTCCATGTATGTTTCGATCCGGCCCGCAAGGATGTTATTTTTGACCAGGGTAAGAATTCCACCTTTTCTCCTGTCTTTGCGGTCAGATCGGAAACACTGGTAGCCTCTGATCTTAAAGGCCATATCTTGTTTGAGATACGTCTCTTGTAGGCAGCATACATGTATATTCTCTTCGTTCAAGACGTTTTCTAATTCTAATTTCTTAGTATTTACTCCCTCCGCGTTCCAGTGCATTATTTTAAGGCTAGCTGTATTTTCTGCTTTTCTGGTTCTACGGGGCATTAGGGGGAGGCTTCGAGTATTTGAAGCTGGACTCTTTCTAACTTGTCGTAGGCCGGTAAATCGAACCACGTGTACGTGAGTGGGTCACATGGTGGAAATCAAACTTATTTGCAGATATAGAAATATTCCCTGTTGCGTTTGTGCGTGGCATCCTGATTGCTGTGGTGCGCCTCCTGGCTGGTTGCCTCCGACTTCAGCACCTTGTTTTGCTAGAGTAGACTGGGGTCTTACCCGTGGACTCCCATGTTTATGGTTACATTATCGGAATTAGGACACGGCCGCCGCCGTGGCTATTGTGTGGAAATAATTCCGTTATAACACCCCTAAACCACATAATACTTGTATCCACGAACAAGAAAATATCCATCGTCAATGAATTAGTAATAATCGCACTCTGTTATCAAGAGAAAAACACCGATTAAGTGAAAATTTTAGAATAAAATCGTGTGTCGCCGCAAACACGTCTTCGCGCTGCCATTTCTGAACCGGGAGCCCTGTCGATGGAAGTGAATCATGGACAGTTGGTAGATTAGTGAAAACTTAATTGGAAGCTGCGGAGATGTGGTTTTATAGACGAATGATGAGAATACCCTGGAGAGATCAAAAGAGTAATAAGGATGGCTTGAAAGAAACTGACTCACGAAGAGAAGAGACTGCCCACACCAGAAAAGATCCTGGAGAGTGACATTATGGCATGGAGGATCATCTGTGTCAGAGTTAACTGAAAGTACCAACGAGACTCATGTATTCAGCAGGTGTCTGATAATTATGTAGCCGGCTTCATGCTACTGTATGTTCAACAGAGTATTACTATTACACATCACTAGAGTACCACAGTAATATGTGAGTATATCAGTATAGTTTATTATCACATATATGCACTGTAAACACCTTACAGAAACATATGACAGTGTGAGTGCAGGATGAATTTACAAGCACGGTTTCAGTACAGATACCACAATGCACTGACAATGAATAAATTATATACCAGATGATACAATATACTTACTTTCATTTCCTGAAAATGTATCTTCTGATAGACCGCCAGCTTTGAGATGGCTGAAAATCAAAAAAGGAATCTGATAAGTGAGGCAAGGATAAGATGACTTTCTATTGAATGGAAGATATTATAAGTGCTGGCATCTTTTTGTCTTTCCAGATGTCAGTTTTATAAGGGGAAGTCAATAAGTAAGTCACAAATGGTTACGGTATAGCAGGAAAATGTAGCTGGCGGTTTCTAAAGGTGTCATTAGGTGACAGCAACATCAAATTTTATGTCTTCATTCATTAGGTGGTGCTAGGTGATGAATGCGCATTCGCAACACAGTGACTGTACTTATGGAGTGCTGTTGTGCGGGTGGGGAGACCAAAAGGGCTGACTGCAAAGGACATTCATTAGGAAATGCTTCCTGTTGATGCTCCTTGGCTGGAGACATTTCGTGAATGACGCAGAAGTTGAATGTGAAGTGAAAATGTGGTTTAGAAAACAGCACGCAGTTCTATGCAGCAAGTTTGGGAGGACTGATAAAACTATGGAACGAGTGCATCAATTTTGGTGGAAATTATGTTGAAAAATAATGGAAAAATTAAGGGTCAGCGTATGTGTAAAAATAAACAGTTTTCAAGTTGTTATCTCTTCAGTTGTGCTTTTTAAAACAACTATTTGTGACTTACTGACCTCCCTTCTTACACTGGACTATAGGCAGACGTGGTAATCACAGCTCAAGGTGAAGGACAGGGCAACCAGCAAAACCCGCTCAGATCAAGAAGCAGGGATTTTGAGACTACTGTTGCCATTGAATGTACTTCATGTCCTTTTTCTCAAGCGCTCATCTCTAAATTGATCTGCAATCACTTCATCCATCATGCCTTTGTAATTTTTTTCCCCCTCCATGCTACATGGTCCATGATATCCTAATACTAATTTATCTCAAACCATGTATCATTCGTGTCTCAGTTGCACGCATTTTTATATTATATTGTGTTTGTGTGTGTGTCTGTGTGTGTATGTATGTATGTATGTGTGTCTATGTATATGTGTGTATGTGAGTGAGTGAATGTGTTAATGGGCATGTGCGCACATGCATTTACCATCCATGCTTCTCTCCCCCCCCCCCCCCCCACCCCCCCCCTTTTTGATATTCATAGTATGCATTATTCATAAAATACAATTGATGTCTGAAATATGAGTGTTTGGAAGTGCCGAATGTAAGATGGGCCTGTGCCCAATCTGTGACCCTTTAAAATTAAAGCCTGTTCGTTCATTATGGCAGGGGCTGACTTCAACATCTTCTGCCCATCTGGGAGGTAAAGGTGACCAGAGTGATGTCGACCACATCGTGTGCCAATCCGTCTACAAAAATATGAATTATTATATGAGGTATTTCACCAGCTCCCATGTAAACAGGTTACCGGCCATATTGAACAGCATACGCCTGATGCACCACTGGGGTGAAAAGAGTTAATTATCATCTCCCCTACTTCCTTCGAAGTTGGAATGCATCTGCCTGGTAGGCAGGGAAACATCAGACTGCAGGCTGGCTTGGCTCAGTGCAGTTCTGTACAGTAGATGTACATGTACAACTCAGATTCTAGAAATATGCCAGAGTACAGAAACGGATGAGCAACCAGGACTTTCTGCCAGGGTGCACAACGAGTGAACGCAAGCAAACACATGACATAAGCGTCTCACCCATCAGGAAGATTACCATATGTATGGCACTGTTATGTCTGTCTAGATCAGGGGTTCTCAACCTGCCAGTCGTAACCCCTTTATGGTTCAAACGATCCTTTCACATGGATTGTCTAAGACCATCGGAAAACACACATTCATTGAAGTTATGAAGGAAACAAATTGTTTGTGGGTCGCCAAAACATGAGGGAACTGTATTAAAGGGTGGCGGCATTAGGAAGGTTGAGAACCACTGGTCTAGACCATAGCATACTGTGTGTATGACAACACATGAATGACAACTGACTTCAGCTTTGATCACTGCACTAGCTTGTTTCCCCAGATCCATGTCGTTTACATGGCTTGAGTGTACCACATGGTGCTCACATATTGTTTCTTAGCCTACCCTCCCCACCCCTTTTGCAACTCCTAAAAGGATCATGACAATGGCATACTAGTCTACAGTCTCCCTATCTCTCTCTACTCCTCTCTGTGCTCTTTCTTTCTCTCTCCTTCCCTCATTCTATGTTTTGAAACCTCTCTCAGATCATCCAGTATTGTGAAAAGAAAGACACACGATTTCATGGCAGGTACTCACCTAGACTTTGGCACTCTGGGAAACCTGTCATCTGAGAACAAACAGTTTGAAACAGTCAGTGATTTCACTATGTCAATCCAAGTGGCTACTATGAATCTACTGGACAATGGTAAGAAAAATCTATCATAAACCTACTTTATGAGAGGTAATGGGGTATGATGTGCACACGGACCAAAACAGGTGGGATAAAACCCTGTACATTAAAATAAATTCCATCCCCTTTAATCTCTTTTTCGCTCTTCTGCCTTTCTAACCCCCAATGGAGCATAGGCCCTCAACCAACTCAAGCCAAGTAGTTCTATCCTTTGCTACTGCATGCCGCTCTCTCCATGTCCTCTCCATCTTTTTAACTTTACTCTTTAGCTCCCTTCTCCAAGTGTTTTTTGGTCTTCCTTTATTTCTATGCCCCTGTGGGTTCCAGTGCCCCTGTTCTGTCTGTCAGAGCTTTGCGACTGACAGTTGTAGTAAAAACAACAGGGCACCAAAAAAAGTTACATAGACACACAAAAAGACCAGAAAAGATAGCTACTACCTCTCCTGGTCCACAGGGAACCTTGCATGTCATGCACCAGCCTGCAGTAGCCATCTATCAAATCAGCCATATCTTCGGCCTCATCCAAGTTTCTGCACATGATTATCAGGGGTTCCGCAGCATCGACAATCTTCAGCTGTACCACACCACTGCCTTCATCAGCCATCATTGTATGCACGGACTGTACCTGAGCAAAGTCTGCCACACGTGTTGGCTGAATAGAGAGACAAGAAAAGTGTTACTTTTGCAATTATACCCCCCAAAAATTGTGTGTCTATTTTTATTTTAACCATGGAAATGAGATATCTGAGAAGGGCTGCAGGAGTGACCAAAAGAGACAATAAGGAATTAAGTCATAAGAGAAAAAATTGGCATAGAAAATTACAAACACCGTAAATTAAATGGTGTGTCCACTTAGAGAGAATGCCTTGCATGCCACAACATACAAAATGCACAGCAAAAGATGAGAGGGACATAGAGCAACAGGCACACCAATAATGATATTGGAAGAAAACATGACAGAAGTTCTAGAACAGCCAACTTTTTCTATGGTTTAGATGGCTAAAGGAGCAAGAAACAGAACCACCCTAGACATTTGAAGCTATGTAAAGAAGAAGAAGACAAGGAGGAGGAGGAGAAAGAGGAGGAGGAGGAGAACAAAGAAGAAGAAGAATAAAAAGAAGAAAAGGAGTAGGAGGAGAATGAGGAAGAGGAGGAGGAGGAGAACAAAAAAGAAGAAGAAGAAGTAGAGGAGGAGGAGAAAAGCAGAAGAAGAAGAGGAGGAGAAGGAGAAGCAGTAGCAGCAGAAGGGCGAGCAGGAGGAAGAGAAGTAGATTCTCTTTTTTTTGGTTCCTTATCCACCCATGGAGCATATCTCACTATCCAACATGATCAGCTGTGCTAGTTCCTGCTGAAGTCCAACAGTTGATTCACGGCAATTCACGCCCAGGTTATCTGATTGTCTATACAGATGGTACGGTGTAGACAGGAAAGAGAAGTGCCTCGGGGTTCGTATGGAAAAAGTTCAATGGAAAATCTTTAGTGCAAGACAGCTTAGCATACGACACCACCACATCGAACATGAGAATGGAGGGGGAGTGGTAACTGTAGCTCTCTGGTGGCTAGAGAACAAGATGCATTTACATATCATAATTGTAACAGACTCTGAAAGCATGCTGAGAAAGGTGAAGACAGGCATGTTTCTGGCAGAGTTGCAAGCTTTACTGGAAAGGTCATGGGTAGTGAGCATACTTTGGATCTTATCTCCAAGCCATGCCGGCGTGGTGGGTAATGAACAGACAGATAGACTGGCTGGATCTGCAACACTGCATGGTGAATTGATACATGACAAGGCAGATGTGGTCAAGGCCCTTTGGGAACAAGCAACAGAATCAGTAGAGAAAGAAGATTATTATGGTCTGGAGCGAATGAGGCAGTGTATCCAGAAGGTCTGGCCGGCTCATTACACTCAGAGGAAAGGCAAATTGGACATATAACTAGATAGTGACCAGTACCAAAATATTGGAACTCAATGCTGGCTGCTGAAGATGAGGACTGAGCATGCATGGGAATGCCCCGAGTGCTGTAATCTCAATTCTTGACTCAACTCAACTCAAATGCTGTCTTTGTATATAATCAAAAATCAGTTCTCCGCCAACCTGTTATTTTTGTCAATTCTACAAATCCTGAAACTTACAGTTGAAGCTTTTTCCGTCAGGAAGCTAATCCCCACATCTGGACCGATGACAATCTCCACAGAGATACTCCAACCAGACTGCAAGAATCAAGATTAGAAGCAAGTGAAGAAACCAACAATGTTCTAGTAATTATTACATTATTTCTTCTCCTTCTTCTTCAAATTTGCCAGTTGTAAACGCTGGCGGAAAGTTCTGGTTGTTTATCCACTTCTGGACTGCAGTCCTGTTCCAGAACCTGAGTGTTGCGTGTGCATCCATTTTACAGATCTGACTCATTTGTATGCAGACTGCTGGTTCCTTGCCTCTCAGGCAGATGCACTCCCACTTCAAAGGAAGCACCCAATTAGTTGACTCTTACGACATGCTTTTGGGAAGGCAGTGGGTCTGTTCTTGTTTTCCCTGTAATAGGGCCCCGGAACCCAGACAGGGAACATCATTTTAAAACATAAGAGTCATTGAGTAAAGATAATACATCAGATTATTTCTGGCTATATAGACAGGCACCTCAGAATACTGAACATGTGCTACAGACATGTTTCTACATGTAGCAGAGAGATCCCAGGTTCGGCCGGTTGGCGTTTCAATGGAAACCAAGACGTATGGAACAGTGAAAGACATGTGTCACACTACAGACTTTATAGAAGAATTCTCATCTGAAAAACACCGGCAGATGTGGTCATGGCCCTGTGGGAACAAGCAACGGAATCAGTAGAGAAACAAGATTATTATGGTCTGGAGAGAATGAGGCACCTGGGTGTAACCAGAGGGTTAGGCCAGCTCACTATACTCAAAGGAAAGGCAAGACGAACATATAACCAGATAGTGACCACTACTATCAGTGTTGGAACTCTGCGCTGGCTGCTGAAGATGAGGACGGAGCACACATGGGAATGCCCTGAGTGCTGTGATGTCAATTCTTGACTCAACTCATCTGAAAAACACTGGCAGGGAGAAACAAAAGAAGAAGCAAGGAGATAGACTGGCCGGTTCTGCACCACTTGGTGGTGAACTGATGTATGACAAGCTGGATGTTGTTAGGCCCTTTGGGAGCGAGTGAAAAAGGTGCCGAGGAACTGATATGATGACATGATGATAGATCATTGCGGTCTGAGGAGGGTGGCACTTCGAGGAGTTACAAGGGGATCTGGCTGACGCATGACATTCAGGAGAAAGGCGAGACGGATATACAATCAGACAGTTACTGGTACCATCAGAATTTTAACTCTTTGCTTGCTGTTGAAAATGGGATGGAACGCTTGTGGGGGGTCCCGAGTGCTGTGATGTCGACTCTTAACTCAACAACATTCAACATCCTGAGCTTGAGTTTTGCACGCATATACATTTTACAGATCTGCCTTTTTTTGTATGCAGACTGTTGGTTTCTCACATCTAAGCCAAATGCAGTCTGACTTCGAAGAAAACATCCATAGTCAACTTTTACCACATGCTTTCTACAGAAGAAGTGGGTCTGTTCCTTCTCCCTTATAATGGAACCTCAGAAGCCACAGAGGAATTTACATGTCCCAGTCTTACCCGTAGTGAACACTGAAATTTCTCATGGTAGAAGGGGTGTACAGTAAACAGAGTTTCAAAAAACTTGAAGACACATTCAGATTCGTTCAATTGAGCATAATGCCGGAACTGCTGCTGGATCAGTTTGCGGAGTGTTTTCGCCTGTAAAACAATGAAATAATACAAGTGAGACCTTAAACAAATCTTTAGTTTCTATTTTCTTGCTGTTTCCACAATCTGATATTCTCAGAAATCAGTCCGGATAACAGGAGAACATTAAATGAGATATTTATTTGTGCACAAATGATGTTTCAAAAAGGCTTATAGAGATTATTTCACACTTTCTGTGGCAGAATATAATAAGTAAAAGTAAAGGACCCTTGTCTGAGCCTTAAGGAGTAATGGGTATATAGGGCTAGACCTATTTTTTTATAGACCAATCAGCATTCGGTAAGTGATGTGGTCATCATCATGCCGACTCCCTTTACTTTCCATAACTTTACCTGGTGCGCATTCAAGGCTGGGTCAACCTGAGAGCCAAATCAATTTTTTTAAAGACCGGCTCCATTTGGACTCGAACCCACGACCTTCGGATGTGCAGGCGAGCATCTAGCTGCTACGCCACAGCTGCTCCCCATGAATGTAGGAGAATGTAAGAGCAGCAATATTGTCTGAATGTTGTCTTGTTCACATCTGTTCTGAAGCTGTGATGATCTTGTGAGATACAACAAATTATAACATCCTTTACTTATCTGCATGTCTTCTCCAAATAGGTTCTGCGGCCTTATTTGAGGGGAGGAAAAGGTGGGGGGGGGGACAAAGCCACTGCTCTCCAACAAGCGTTTAGTCAAAGTTGACTAATTAGGGTTTTTTCCTTCAAAGTCAGAGAGCATATACATGACAGGCTAGGAACCAACAGTCAACATTTAAAAAAAAAAAAAAAACATCAATGCGCGCACAAAACTAAAGTTCTAGAACAGTGGACTCCAACCCTTTTTCAGCCCGCACCCAACCTTGAGTATATGGCAAGGCCCTTCCCAGACTCCCTTGAGTATATGGCAGGACCCCCCTTAACCCTCCTTGAGTATATGTTAAGAATCCCCCCCCCCCCACCCCTACTTTCTCAGTTAGAGATCAATATTCTAGAACAAGACTAAAGTCTAGAAGACCAAAGTCTATAAGTGGACAAACAACCAGAACTTTCCGCCAGAGTTTACAGCAGGTGAAAGCCAAGAAGAAGAATCAAGAATCAGCATTATTTATGATGATGATGTGAATATCAAACAAGATATCTCAACGACCACTAAAACAGGCATCTAACTGACACAGACAACCAGGGCTTGTGACCAGTCATTATCACCCATTTGATACTATGAATATCAAAGCATTCAATGTCCATTAATTCATCTTTATTTGAAACTCGCAGAGAATTGTTTGTAGGAGTGCGAGGAAAAGAAAGAGCGGAATTTCTGGCTACAAAAGTGACAGATGCAGGAAAACTTGCACCGGATAAAGAAGACCATTTGTGAGCAAACGCTGGTAGAAGACATGAGGTAAGATGAAATAACGTGTAAGAATGTGGGAATGAGGAATTAGGTATGGATCGGGCAAGGAGTTATGTCTGAAAGGAAGAGAACGATGTGTTTATAATCGGTGTGCTATGGAAACAGATATCATCTACACCTTCAGATATTTGCTGCAGGAGACAGAGCACCTATAGGTATGCTCGGTGTGTTATTATGTTAATTCTTAAAACAGTAAATCAGAGAATTGCATCCCCCTGTAGGTTTTAGAGCCCTATTATAGGGAA